AAATATCAACTTCCCGTTTAGTTACTGCCAAGCCAAGAGCATAAGATTGAGAACAGTGACCAGTTCTTAAAGCATTTATTTCTGTTTTTCTCAAGAACATATGTTGTAGATGAAAGATTTTAAATGTACTTTTAAAATCTTACATAGTAACTGCCAACTTTTTTTTTGTTTTCTTTCTATGGTCTTGTGCATTGTGTTAAATCATCGTGTCTAAAACAGTAGAAGAGTTTTGATCAGTTTATTTATAATGGTATTCATAATTCTGTGATCGATATCATAGGGAGAAATTTGTTTTTAAGTCTTACCATCAACGATTACAACGTAGAGCAAGTAAGCTTAGATACGTACTTACAACTTCGGCAAAATTCAGTCGTTTTGACTCAAATCTTTGTATTATGTACTGGTAAAATGTTATAGATCATTGTTCTAAATTCTAATCACTAGTACAAGGTGTGTTTTGAACTTCTTCTGTACTCAGGTCATGGCATGTTGGTTTACTTTTACTTCTCACATTGAGCATTTCAATGTCAAACAATATTTTCTTTCGACCATTTAATGTTTTGAAAGAAAATATTTGTGTATGACCAATTTAATTTTCATTTTTACTGTCTAAAGAAAATCTAACAACAAAATGTAAATATAGTTTGGTAATGAATGAATAGTACAATACACATTCAAATGGCAACTCCTGCTTGAAATTAAAGTTCTAGTTGTGTTTTCAGTTCCACAAACAGACCCCCGGATTAGCAAGTTGAAACACCATTATTTGCAAATCAAGTCAAACGAATATGCTCAAAATTCAAACACAAGAAGAAAGAAAAAATACACGAATAAACATCTAACAATATGTCAGGATCATGATAAGTTAATATGATAGTATACTTCAAATAATCATGGATAATGTCTCCTTCCTATCGATCGACATTTTAATTTTTTACTTAATATGTTTAAGATCATAAGACACATATTGATACATGTCACATATCTAGTTTAAAATCGCAAGATTCAAAATGATGATCAAATCAAAATCAAAATAAAGCTAAGGAAGTATTACTTTTGTGAATTTTAACCAAAAGAGCGTCGAATTTGCCAACTCAGCCCGTCAGCAATGTACATCAACGGTAAGGAATTGTTCAAAATTTGAAAACCCAAATTGAAAGCCTATTATTGGACCCACAAAATGGGCCCAACCCAAAGAGCCGTTCCAATATTCTCAGCTTTTCTTTTTTTCATTATTCCCCACTTTTTAATTTAATTTTGAAGCAATTCTTACATTTCCCGCTCAGACGCTGAATATAAAGCAACAATTTCCTCATCATCCATCTTCACTTACCAAATTCTCTCGTCAATTGAAACCCTAGAATTCACCATGGACGATTCCGCTAAAGATCAATCCTCCTCTGTTTCTGGTATTCGCTCTGTTAATTTCTCTGTGCTTTTTATGGCAAAATCTATGGTTGATTATATATATATGTGTATGTATATGTGTTTGAATGAATTTTTCATTTGCAGCAAAGGCTAAGCAATCATCATCATCAAAGCTTCTGCGGTATCCGTTGCGATCGACCTCTAAATCGAAGGAAGAGAAGTTGCCTCTGACTGATTCCTCCAACTCTTCTGCTTCTGCGAGGTTTCTAATCTCTGTAAATCTGCAATTTCTTCATTTAGATATCTGGTATATGTATGTGCTGATTAGATTATACGTAAGATGAATTTTGGATTGAAATTGCGTTGTATGCAGATATATAATTCAGTGGAATTTTTTTTCCTGGTATTTTACTGTTTTGTTCGGGTGCAACAATTAGGATATCTTGTAGTGACTGGAAATAGAAAAAACTCAATGAAGTAGCAGACAGAACCTTCTTCCATATGAAATAAGGTGAAATCTTATTGATCCAATAATCATTGTTGGATTTGTTGGCTATTTGACATATTATATTATTCAGTGAAGAGTTTCAAGCTTAATCACCTGCTTTTGTGAAGCTTTTCATATTTATGGCGCTGAAGAAATTTTTCTAACCTGTATGTGGCTTCCAGAATCAGTAGATGCTTGATGCTTCATCTCTGAGCGAAATTTGAATCACAATCCATGGTGAAACTTTTAGTTTTCTGTTTATATTGATACGTGCTACTCGCTGCTTACCTTTCATTTGGCAGGTTCTGATGTATTAACTCGCCTTTTACTTTTGGTTTGTGAAGTTTCTGCATTTCATTTTAGGGACTTGAACATAAAGAGTTTAACTTCTTGTGGCCTTTGGTACTTGAAAGTTGTAACAAGAAATAAGTCATAATTTAGCCACGACCAATAACTTCTAGGCATAGTGAACTAATGAGAGCTACTTCAGACAAAGGCTGTCAAAGATGCAACTTCCTCCAAGTCTTCTTATTTTATTTCTATTGCTAAGACTTATTAGGTGTCTCCTAATTCTGCAATAACATCAATCTCTGCTTCATTTGTCTTTCAGGGTAAGACCTGCATCAAGTGTCAGTAAGAGTGTTGCTGCCCTTCCCCTCTCTGGGAAGGAAAAATCAGCGAAGCCTCCAAGACGGCTGTCTGTTCCCTCCAAGTCAATTGTCAGCCCTGCTTCTAGACCACTTGGTATTATAACCAAGGAACCAAAAAAAATAGGCAAACCCATTTCTGAGACTAGAGCAAAGAGATCTCCTAGTAACCAAGGAAAATCGGATACACCACAATCAAATGTTTCAAAGTCCTCAAATAGAAAGAAATATGACCTTATATCCTCAGCTTCTTATTGGCTATCACAGATTAAGCTTTCTGAATCTGCTGCTAAGCATTCAATTTCCCTGGGCTTGTTCAAACTTGCTTTGGAGGCTGGCTCTGAGGTATGATACTATATCTTCTCCCACATGAATTTAAACTCTACATTGAAGAAATAGTGAGCTCATTGAAATGTAACTAGGACACCTTTAGTAGATCTGCCTGACTGCCTTTCAAAACCACAGTAAAACTCTGAAGATTTTGTAGTGACTTAGTGCTATAGATTTCAATATTCTATTATTCTCTCACTTCCTTCGTTTAGCAAAGACTATATTTTTAAAATCAAATTATTGGTTTCTAGTAAGATCATTGCTCGGCTTCCTTGCACTGCAATGCGGGTTACAAAATCTCAGTTTCAGAAACAACTTGGCTCTTGTAGCTGGTAAATCGAACCAATATGATTGAAAGTATTTGACTCTTTTTTGCTATCATTTCAGCCTCTTCAGCGTCTGAGAGATGAGCTGAAATCTTATGTGCAACGAAATGCCCTTGTTGAACTTGAGGAGCCTGTGAAACAATTGTTTGATAGCTATAACATCCTCCAAATATCTGAGCAGTTGCAAGTTTCTGAGACTTGTTCTCATGTGCCATCTGATAATGACGTTCATAGCTCTTCTTCTGTTGCAAACACTGAGAGACTGCAAACCAAAGTCTTGAACAAAGACTCTACTAAAGCTGCACAAGTGAAAGAACCAACCAAGCAGCAGCCTTCAAAGATTGGAAGCACTCCTAGGACCCGGAATTCTGTAAACAAAATTGCTGCAGCTGCGAAATCTATATCACCAAAAACTGGAGGTCGTACCACAAAAGAGAAACTTCAAAAGCCTGCTAAGCCAGAACCAAATAAGGCTAAGGTGATGAAAAGACAGGGAAAGAGATCTGCTCAAGGAGAAGGTAGTTAAAGAGTGGACCTTCCTTGGTTAAAAATCACTTGACTTTTTGAGTTTAAAGTTAGTTATTTGTATTTTTCTTTCACAGGGCCTGTCGATGCCTGTATTTCAGAGAAAGTCCTGGAAGAAGATAAGGAAAATCTGGTAAGGGGCACAAATATGGTTTCTCATTTTGATGAGTTGAATTTCTACCTTTTCATTGCATTTTGGTTGTACTGACTGCTATAAGTTACAGGATGCTCCACAAACAGAAGTGATTAGCACCTGAAGTTTTTGGCAGGAAGCTTTTGAAATCATATCAGAGGCCAAGGTGGAAGTATTTGAATCTGGAGTGTGCATTCCAATTTTGGATTTGGTTTGTTTCATTTGTTTATTCTTAATTTTTAAAAGAAAAATTACCGAACCATTATACAGTTGTGTCTAGCCTGTTCGTATTGGAATTCATGCAAGACGTACAGTGCGTTCTTTTTTACTCAACAGCTTCTATGCGCTTGCAGTTGAATATTACTTGGAAGTAATTATACCTGCAGTATATACAGTGTTATTTTTATCATTTGAATTAGCTTTTGATTTTAGATCTCAGTGACATCCTGGGCATCTTCGATTCCTTTAGTTCGAGTATTTTTCCTCCAAATTTTGTGTTTTTCATCTTTGTAACAAATAGCATGAAATCAACGGTTGTTTGAATTTGATTGGTTCTTAATCCTACTACCCAGCATCCTCAAGTGCGCTCTAGCAGTCCAGTGCGGTGCTATTGCATCTATACATGCATATATCTTTTATGCTGCTATATATGACACTATATTAGTATATTACTACTTCTCTATCTGCTAGAAAGAAATATCAACTTAATGGACAAGTGAATTGTGATTCATCTCTACTATTGTGAAATACAGACTGAAAAGGCCACTGTGACAATAATTATTTTGTTGTCATTTTTTCTTCTTGCAACTTTCTCTGAAAATTTTTTTGCGAAGGTTTCTGTAGGTGAACATGCAGTAAAATCATTGTTTGACACCTACAAAATAGAACGATCTGCACATCTATCGAAATTAGCTTGTCTACTTCATTAGTATATGTTGTTGTAGTACTATGACAAATTACGCCTATGATTTCCACAACACAAAATGGCCCAATAAAGTTCACAACAGAAGTTGACATTATTTTTTCAAAATTTAAGCCAGTTATAGTCGTTGTGTATATATACACTTAAGTATACACAAGTGATGGCTACAAAAGAATACGGCTAAGGAGAGCCTTACTTTTGTTTACACGCTGGATAAAAATGTTAAAGATCCCGATGCACCAGTGTAGCACCATTCAAATCCGCTTAGAACTACTCAAAATTTTATAGCAAAATAAGTACATGAAAAACAATTCCCATGCGTATGGGAAGTTCCTTGCATTTCTAAACCAAAACGCAATCCATATATTACAGAAGCTTGTCAATGCAATGCAGCAAATGACAATTAGGCAATAGAACCTAACCAGAATACTAGGATCAAACAAAATGAGAGTTCCATTCAAATAAAATTTCAAAGAGGAGGTTTCAATCCGTAAATATAACATAGCTGAGCCATGGTGCTCTTCATCTGAGGTCTGCAAGGACATCTTTCGTCCCTAGAATCAGTCAGCAGTCCAGCTCTGCTCAACAATTTCTCTCACTCTGCGATTGTACTCCCTTTTATTCTCACTGAACATCCGAGCTGCTTCCGAGTTTGCAGGTGAGTTGGGGTTTGGATCACACAGCAATGACTGCAATAATAAGAGTGTCAGTCATTCGCAAACAACAAACCAATAGTCTTCTTTCTTGAAATAATTTTTATTAGCGCATAAGTACGAAAAAAGCCTTTGTTTTATTCAATCCTTCAAATCCTCTGCATGTACATGTCCCCAGTAGGATAGAGTAACTCAGCTTAACTCTCCTGACTTTGCTTTACAGATAATCCATGGCCACTCTCATCCTGTCTCCTTCGCATTTACTCAGCAAGGTACAACCCAAATTAATTAACAAATTCCAAGTAGGAACTAAAAATCTTTAAGGGCAAATTAGGGTCTAGCAACAGCACCATTTTCTTGCTTAAGTACAGCAGAGTCAACATGCTTAAAACTAAGGAGCTGAAAACCTTAAGTCATACTCATCACTTAAGGTTTTAAGTAATAATTGCTCGACATAAAGCTTCCATCATCAAGAATCCGGCAAAGCATGAGGATAGTACGTCTAGCGTCTTAAGCATATCATCCATTGAGTAACAATTTCTACTTCTGCTTGGGTATCTATGTCTTGAATTGCATACATTAAGACATAAGTCTACTACCCCCTTTACTCGGCAAGTTCAACTTCAAACTAGTCAACATCTTAATCTACACAAAGATCGATCATCTCATTATTGGATGTAATTGTAATAAAGAAATGAATATTCAGGCACCAACATCATACACAATTCTATGTTATTTCTCTTCTTCTTGTATGGGTGGATGGTGGGTTGTGCAAGGAACTTATTAAGTCAAGCACCAGCAGTTAGGGGATTGAGTAAAAATCTTCATGCAGAATATAAAGTGATTGACACAAATACGAGCAGAATCTTGAGGTAAGGTTAAACAAACGTACCGTTTCTTTCCATGATCCAGCAGCTGTAGCAATCGACAAGTAAGTCGTAACTTGCACAGCTGCTAACTACCACTCTCTCTCTATACTGGGAGAATTAACACAACTGAATTGTCACACGCCTTTAACTACGTATTAAAAGAAGCAAAATATGTTTAGGTTCTTCTTACAATAGCTAAGGGAAGTTGGTCTTCTTTTTTTTTTTAACTGGTATAAGGGAAGTTGGTCTCTGTTTATAGAGAAGCTTCAGGCCAATAATTAATTGGCTCCCCCACACACAATTCAGTTAGATGATTTGGCTTTATATGAATACTTTATTTACAACTTGGGTCATGTCACTAAACTTGTCCATGTAGCGATTGGTGTTCCTCTTCAAAGTCACAGTTAGTTTTAAATGTCTATTCATAATCACCAAGTATAAAGTTAAGAGAAATCAGCAAACTCTCATACTCCATGGAGCACTTCTGACCCTCCATCTTCTCATGCCACTTGTCAACTCAATAGAGAGACTGGTACACTCCATTGTAGTCAATGAAACAAACCTCTCATTCTATCTCCGCAATGTGAATTATCAATACATGGAGAGTCCACACTCCAATTGATAACACATGAAGGGGGGAAAGTACTTGACCATGAGATAATATTTTATCTGATTGAGTCTTTGGACCATGACCAACCTTTTCTAAAATCTAGAAATAGAAACCATGCTCTGGGCAAAAGTGCTTGAGAAACAGCAGTCTTCTCGAAAATTCCCAGATCAAGGCATTCTTTTAGCATCAATCGATGTGATTCCTTAACAATTGCTTCATCATCATAAAGAAACAGAAACGCACAATACAATATGCAAATGTAACTACGTAGCCTAAAACTAAAACAACGATAAGTCAAGCTGTCACAAGGATGATATCTCCAACCCTATAGAATGAGGAACAAGAAACTACTCCTTTGCAACACATATTTTCATTTAATGATGCTTTCAACCATTAGATTTAATAGTAAAACTCAGGATTAAGACATGGATAACTTAGAGAATGTGATGTCTAAAAATCAATTACAGTTCTATACCTGAATGGATGTAAGTATTGCCGCAACATCATAAATTGGACTCCATTGATTCTGAAGAATATCCAAACATATACTTCCATCTGCATAAACTGGAAAAAAACGAAGAACAATTCCAGACATAAAATTTACTATTCCTATCCACTGTTGACAAATAAAAATCAAATCTTGAACTCCAACTTACTATTAGGATGAAACATGCGAGAAACAAACCGCACTGTTGGTGGCTTGTTGGGGTAATCCTCAGAGAATTGAAGAGTCAACTTGAACGTACCTGATGTTCTCAAATAGTATAGTTACAACCGAACTAATTAATTCATATCAAAACTAAGGCGATATGAAAAAGAAATCATATTATGTCAAAAGAAAAGGATGGCGAAGGTAACAAAAGCCACAGGACGCACTTGCTAACACCAACAACCTTAACTTTTGGCAGAGAGTAATAAACTGACAAGAGATGATAATACAAAAGTGACTTGGAAAGCCAGGACTGGAAATGCTTGGACTGGGAGATCAAAGAAAGGATTCAAGCATTTCCAAAACTAGAATATGCATCACCTCTATGAGATGATTCATAACATTCATCACTACTTATTCGTAGGCAAGGAATGTCCTGGGAGGGGACGAGGGGTGCGACTCTCCAAACTGATTATTCAGAATTTCAAATCACAGAAAAGAGAGACTGAGATGATTAAAACATAATTGAATTGTACAGACAACAATGCATAAACAGTAGATGTGCACCAACTACAACGCTTTAAGCCTTTAACATTCTTCTGCCACACTGCACTAACGACCAAATGCAAGGATAACTCACCACCATCCCAAGGAGTGTCATCAGGACTGCAGGTTACACCAAAACGAAGAGAAAGGAGAAAGTAGATTATTCAAACCATATGATAACAACTGCCCCAAACAGACATTAAACACATATTTGGCGTATTTTAATTACACAACTCACCCAAATATCACGGCATTCCAAAGCATAATGTTGTTGTCTTGAGGTGCACCACTAATACCAGCAGGAGGGTCCTGCTGCAACCTCTTGAAATCCCTCATCAGCCTCTTTCTAGCTGGAGTCGACATTGTAACCACCTGCAAATCACATGGTCAAATTAATCTATCTATACTACCTTAAAAGCATTCTCTATATTTTATAATTTATATTTATCTATATTATATTATAAATAGACACGTTTTCATATTGAAGAATTGTGACGTTACTGAAGATTCTGACTTTTCTAATAAAGCACAATTAACAACTATTCATACTACTATTTGTTGTCTCTAAATAGAGGGGTTTCCTCTCATTTTCAAACTATGAAATTTCCAAATTTTCTACTCTTCTTCTTCTTAAAAACCTCGAGTGTAATTTGCAACCATTGGTATCACACTAAGAATCAATCTTTGCCGGCTGACCCATTTACCATTTCTATGTACTTAAATTTCCAACAAAAAGGAAAAACTACCATTCAACAACTACTAAACACTCATATCAAACATAAAACACCCAAAATCTCTTTCCAACACCCATTGTTTTTCCTATAAATTGCATTAGCTCTATAAATAAGAACACACGTACCTAAAAATCTAATCATTGTTCATCTTGCGATAAAGATAGTGGCTGGTGAATTTTGAGTAAGTTTTTGGGGGTAAAAATGATTGGAGAAAGAGTAGGAGTAGGAATCCTCTCCAATGTGGTTTGCAAACTATTGCATAGAAGCAGGGGTTTTACCTGTGCGCACCCAAAGGGTAGCGGCTGCGGGTTTTCCTTGTCATCAAAAAAAAAATGGATAGGAGTGGGAGGTGGTTTGGATATTTTATTTTTTTTTTTGGGGGGGATGGGAAAAGGAGGTACAATCAGAAAAAATATTATTACTTTGTTGTATATTATTTAATTTTTAATATGTAACTTTTTCTGTCTCATTATAAAATGACTTGGAATTCGACATGCAAGCAATTGTATTATACACACACTGAGAGGATGAGAAAAGGGTCTACAAAGTAGAGTTCTGTCGAGTTTAGGAGTTCATTTGGGAAGTAGTAAGTAGGAGGGTTCAAATGACAAACGGAGCCAATTACAAGAGACTCCCAAGCCAGTCCGCCTTAATTTTATTTGTTTCTCTTCCTTATTAACTTGCTATCCTTGTAATTTTACTTTTTTTTATTCATGGATTCAACGCAAATGGTAATTTCTGCTTCATCCACTCACTATCATGGTCCAACGATATTAGAAGAAGGTACAAAAGGAAACCTTTTTCTCCCCAAAGAAACCATTTCGGCGATGGCGTTAGCGCTTTGCGATGACAATAAATATCAGTCCAATAGGCTAATCATTCATCAATCCGCACTTGTATTTTTCTCCTATGATTTCCATCACATACATACTTTAATATTTTATATCATTTTAAAACATTAATACTAATTTGCAAGAGATACACATGCTACAATACATGCTCGAGTACTAGTTAACAAACCCAACAAAAGAGAACTACTATTGAGCTTTTTCTGTTTGCCCTTTATTATATTTAATGACCCATAAAATCTGTCTAGAGCCAACCCTTACGCACTTTGAAACTTGGGGATGATGAGCCCAGCCCTCTACCCTCCTCCACTTAAATACTGCACTTTAATTCGCTTGGTGCATGGTTCAAACTTATGACCTAAGTCAAAAATTTTAGTTCTAAACACCACTTCAGGATTAAAAGTATGTAAAAGTTGTTTATATCACTTTAACACAGTCATCCAGGTATAAATCAAGTTCTCATTTGGCTTAACTCATGATCTAATTATGATCATCTCAATCAAGTAACAAAGCTCAAATTCCAGAACAATAAATAACAATAATCAACTGTAGCACACATGAATTAGGGCTCGCACATACAATTCCCCTAATATAACACTATTTACTGAAGATCAAAAACTTCTCGCTAATTGTCGCAAAAGCACAATCACATAAAATTCTTAAACACTCTCCAAACTAAATTAGAATTATCCAATTTAACCGCTTTCGCTTTTAACAAAAGATCAGTTTCCTGTCCAGTTTCCTTGAACTCCAAAGATCCATCGGAAATTGAAGATATAAAATCAAAGGACTTACCAATACGGCGGTAACAAGGCGGTGAGGTAGGGTTCCGAGCTAAGGTCCTGTGCTTTGTGTTCTCTCGTAGCTGCCCCTGGAGTTCGCAAAGCGAAGGAGAGAGAAAGATAAAGGCAGAGAGGAATAATATATAGTGTATTATTGCGTGATGAGCTTTGAGTTGGTCCCAATTTAGCCGGCCCTACGTGTACTAGTATCTCATTCGTTGTATTTGGCTTTGCATCACAACCATACATTTAGAGCCTGTTCGGCTCTCAGCTTAAAAGCTGGTCAAACTGATTTAAAAGTTGGTTTTTGACTTATTTAGCTGTTTGGCAATACTAAAACAGCTTATTTTAAGTTAAAAAAACTTATTTTAAGTCAAAAGTTAAAAGCTGGGGTAGGGGTTATTTTAAGTTGACCACATTTTTATCTTTTTGTGCTTAATATTTTTATACAATCTCCAAATTATCCATATAACCTTAACATTTCTTTCTCCCATTTTTCCCTTTTCACGTTTGAAATAACAACTTCAGCACTTTTATTCAAACCCATAACTGCTTATTTTAAAAATAAGTTTCAGTACTTTTAAAAGTACTTTTTTAAAGCTACTTTTATTAAGCCCATCCAAACGGACCCTTAATTGCGCGATTTAGAGATTCATCTTAAATTTTTAGTTTTAAATAAATTATGATAGCTAAACTTATATATAAACATAGAACATAGCTTATATGATATTATAATATTAAATTATAAATTTGTGTCTAATAAAAAAAAATTATGCATTTTGAAGGACGATAATTACAGACTAACACAAATTAAAGACAAATGATTCATCGTTTATGCTAATTTATACTCCATGATTATTTTAAGTGAAAGTGTATAATTAGATAAGAAATTATAAATATACTAAATTTAATTGTCTCCTTAGTAAGATATATTTAATTCACTACGAACAAAAGATAAATGTATATATCCTAAGCACAAAGTTAAGAACATAAAGAGAAAAAAAATTGAAATTTATTTTAAATTGTCTCGTTACAAGTAATAAGAAATTTAAAGTTATTTTTATAAAAAAAAAGATAATTTTTGTAGACAACTTAGTAATAAAGGAAATGTGATGCATAAAATGAGAAGATATGAGAACATATATTAACTACTAGTAAAGAATTATGTATTAATGTTTGCACATCAACATGTTGCGATTTCATCTTTTTATTTTTTTAATAAAAATTATGACTCTGTCCCCAATTAGAAACGAATTATGTATGTAATGGTGACGAATGAGAATAATTTTTTCTCTTTAATGTTTTGTTTTGTTTCAGCTTTTCATTCGGAAATGCATCACTTAATGATTGCATTACCGTATAAAATGAGACAATATGAATATATACATTTGCGGACAAGTTGAATAAAGGAAACCAATGCGAGTATGTGATATATAAAATCAGATAATATGAGAATATATTTTAACTAGCTAAAAAATAAGTAATAAAAATTATTTTACGTATATCAATATGATTATTATTTTTTTCATGTTTTGTATCAAGAAGCTTAAGCTTCATAACAATGGCAATCACAAACAAAGAAGAGCCAAGGCTGAAACAGTGAAGCTGATTTTATAAAATGCAAAAGCTTAACTTGATCTTATGCATTAGTAGAGTATTTATAGATTACATAGAAGCATCTAGAATACACATTTAAAACATGTGATAACTAACTTTCATAACTAACTAACTACTTGTATAATGCAATGTTAATATTCAACATTTTGTTTCCGTCATAAAAATTGTGACTATAGCACCGATCATAAATCTATGTATGTGATACAATTAGCGAGTGGACATATTTTTTCGTGTTCTCTTTAAATTATTTTCCTTCGTTTAAGCTTTTTATAAAAATCCTAACTTAATTTCAAACGTCGATTATACATTTTCTTTAAAAAAAAAGTAGATTTAGGACAATTAATATACATATATAAATTGCAATATAAATCCCTCAGGCATTAGTGGAGATTGATGCTTACAGCACTGACAATATTAGAAATCTTTATATGTGAAATGGGACACATATCAATCTTATTTAAGATTTGTAGTGGGTCACACAATCAATTAATACCCAACAAACAAACAAAAAATATCATAAGATTGACATCAACAATACAACAAATAGTAAATATGATTGAAGAAAATTAAAAAAAGTTCTCATGACGCGTAAGACATTCTAACCTAACAAAACAAGAAATAGAATATATTCCAACATGAAAAAGATATGATGTTAACTAGTTGAGGAACAACTGATTTTGCAATGACAAAATAGCGGTATTAAATAAGTGAGTTCGGTTGAATTTGAGCGGGTTAAAATAAGTTGAAAGTTACATAAATTTAAATGAATAGATCTAAAATAGACTAACATAATTGCAAGTTATCTATAATTTGAGCGAAATTTATGGCGTATTCGTATGTGTGTTAGTCAATGTATATTCTATAGTCCAATTTTGTATATTTTATCGGAGAAATTGAATCATAGTTGATCGATGGACAACCCACTATCTACTATTCCACTTTGCTAGAAATTAAAATTATTGTGCTAATTATTAGATTCGAAAAAAAAACAACATAGAAAGCCACTTACACAAACATTTTTAAAATTATTTAATATTGTATCAAATTAGAGATAGTATATACCAGAAGTTTATCAATTTGTTTGATTAATATTCCGATGAAATGTTAATTGACCAACCTAAATAGTACCATTACTATTTGCTGCTATAGGTTTCATTGATTAACTGAACAACGTAATAATAACCATAACATATTCAATATAAACGAAAATTTCTACATCAATTCTTATTCTATTTTTTTTTTGCTAAATATTCAGGACTGTTTGTAATATCCCATTCTATCTTCTTTTTTATTAAACACCAAAAAAAAAGAAGCAAATAAGCCATCTACTAAATAAATAATCTACATTTTGTACAAAAATCTTACAACCATAGTCAAGTTAATCAACAACAACAAATTACAAATGCTAATTCCAAAGTGTCAATTGTGTTAATGACACTAAAGCATATCTACAGACTATACAGATGATTAATCCTTCTAACTACAAAGTTCAATTTCAGAGGTAAAACATGAAGAAAAAAAAAATTAATCAATCAAACTTACTATCACCAGGAGAGGTAGATTTACCCTTATTAGACGTCGAAAATGGTAACGAAGAAGAAGATTGCCCGAAAAACACCATGCTATTATTCCCAGGCTGCTGTGTACTATTACTATTACTATTACTATTATTATTATTATTCGCGGAAGCAGAAGAGGTTGGTTTATTTAAAAAACTTGACGAACATTTATTCGGATTTGAGCTTGAAGGGAGACTGGATAAAATTGGAAATGGCTCAGTAACATTTAAATTATGGACGGATTTGTTTTCAATTGGAGAATTTCCAATGATCGATGTAAGAGCTGCAGCTAATGCGGAATGAAAATTTGGGTCTGATGTTATTGCTTTGGTTGCAGCTGCAATTGTGTCTGGTGGTAAAGAAGATTGTGTAGTATTTTTCTGTAAATATGATTGGAAAATGTTATCTTGACTTGATCTTGATGAAAATGTAAGTGGACCAAAATTTTGGTTATTTTTGTTATAGGTTTGATTTGGATAATTATTGGTCCAAGAAATGGGAAGGGAATTGGATTCAAGTACTGAGCTAAAATTGAGGTTTGTGGTGGAATTATTGTTATTGTAATTATATCTAGGAGGAAAATTCTGAGTCATTCTGTTTAGATGAGATAAGGAGGACGGGGACGAGGACGAGGTGGAAGTCAAATCGAGTGTAATTGTAGGGAGGGAATTAGGTGCGGATGCTGAGATGGATGAATTAGGAAAGTAATATGGCGATTTATGATGTTTTGAGGTATCAGAGAGATAGAAGTTGAGTCCGTTGATATTGGCAGAAGTAGTGGTAGTAGGGGTAGTGGTGGTGGTGGCAGTTACTTGTGGGTTTGGGTCTGATGAATTAGATGAACCGGATAACAGCATGCTAGCGGCCGCTGAGGTGGTAGAAGCCATTGCGGTGGCTGAAAGAGGAAGGGTATGGTTGTGTGTTCCTTCATATGTGGTGATCAATATTGACATGTCTTCGGCACATCTTTGAACCTACAAAACCAACAAGCAACAATTGTATCATTACCATGATAATGTAGTACTAGTACTAGTAATAAATTGATTCATTATAAAATTTAATTTATCAGATCGCCTAAAAATGAGTAATACTTTTAGTCCTTTTCACTATATTTGATACTACTTCTTTACTATTACATCTTATGCATATTTTCTTAATAAGACGCTTTTAAAAAATTTATAATCACACAAATATAAAAGTGTATTTGAGATCACAAATATTAAAAATCTTCTATTATTTTTATAAAAAAATTGTATCGAGATAAACTATGATGAATAAAACAAAACTAATTAACTTAAATTACTATAAAAAGTGGAATAAGATTTTACACTTTTAATAAATAAGTTAAATTAATCTATGAGGATTAAATAAGCTACTATAGAACATAACTTTTTATTTGGTGTTCTAGAGCTTGATTGACTTCGGATTCATGCATTGTATTCAAACTCGAGACATATCTAATTAAGAATGAAGGAATTTCAATCATCCCTCTATATATTACCTGCTTTCTAACTGGGCAATTTGGTGCTACGGTGCAACGATAGTAAGCTCTAGGGCATGGATTTCCTTTTGCTATTTTTTGACCATATTTTCTCCATTGGCATCCATCATTCATCTGATCAATAATATTACCAAAAAAAATTTGAAATTAAAGAAAAATCATTATTAACATAATTAAATACATAGATTAGATTGCATTCTTTACTTAATTATAATTAATATCACAATATGCATGCATGTATACAAAAAAATTGAAAAATCCTTACCGTAGGGGCATCACATCTGACTCTAACAGAAACCCTAGCTCTTTTAGTAGGGTTTTGTTGCGAAACATCATCTCCATCTCCATTATTTCTCATCGTCTTGAGATTTTTATTCGACGTCTCTTCATTTTCATCCTTATTAGCTTGAATATCATCTAAGCTATTCTCCGGACTATAATTCACTGGTGAACATTCAGTTGGCGTTGTTTCGAACTTGCAATCCAATCCTAAATCAAGGCT